AAGGACTCCCTCTCGCCGCACTGGCTGTTCTTTTTCAGGCTGGGGGCCCCGCCCAGGCTGTTCCAGCTCGAGCGGCGACTGCCCCAGTTGCTGCTGGTGCCCCAGTTTGCACAGGGCGAGCTGCGGAGGCTGGACTGAGAGAGGGGGGAGGAGAACAGGTCAGGGTTGGGCGGGGCCTCCTGGGAGGTGTGGTCCCCACTGATCCAGAGGGCGCCAGGCTGGAGAAGCCCTCTGTTCTACCTCCCCTCCCGCCCTAACCCTCTCAGCTAAAACAAGCACCAGTGCTTTAGGATTTTCCTGCTGGAAGTCTTTTCCCGGCCTCATGATCCACCTTCTCCAGCACCCGCCTGCCCCAAACCAAGACGCGTTCCCCCCCCCCGCCCACCCCTGCCAAGCGTGCTACTTCTTGAAAAAATACCAAAGATTTCTGGTCGAAGCTGAGCGGGTCAACCGAAACGTTGCTCCCCCTTCTGGAGTCCACAAAAGGGTAGGCAGAGTCCATGTGTGGAGAACACTTTGGGGTGGGCATGGGGGTGGCTGCAGTGTGCATGATAATGGGTGGGGGCATGCTTCCCTTGCCCTCCAGGTGGCCATTCGGAGTGACGGCAAGCGAATACATCTTCATCTCTGCAAGGGAAGAGACAGGATCTGGTCAGCAAGAGCGGGAACTCTGTGCAAACCAGTCCAGAGTGAAAATGTTCTGCTACTACTTCTGCCCCTTAACAACACCCCCACCCAAGGATATCTCCACGTGAGTAAAGCAAATCAGCCCCCGACGAGCAAAAGTTCTTATAAAGTGATCGCTAGGTTTTCTCCCAGAGGGAAAAAAAGGCTGTAGGCACTTTTTGGGGTCATGACAGCTCTGCTGGGTGAGGGAGAAGGACTGAAGGTCTTCATGAAAAAGGCACAGAAACATCAAACTTTTTCTAAGGGACAATACAGAATTTCTTGGGGAAAGAAAGAGAGAAGCAAGCAGTGGAAGTCCTGGCTGACTTCATCTTCTTGCTTCCTCTGGTGACCCTTTGAAGGTCAACACATCAACCTAGCCCGGCTTTCCAGAGCTTTAATCTTTCCCTCGGATCAAAAGTGAAGCCAACAATGGGTGCCTTCCCTGTGCAGACATCCCTCCCTACCAGAAGCATGGAGTTCCTTCAGTTTCTCAAACTCTTCCTCGAAGTTGGTCGATGTTTTGTCTTCATCTGTGTCGGATCTGTTGGCATCACCCTGAAGTGCCCCCAAAATAAAATAGAACAACATGTTGGCTACAGATTTGCAATTGTGCCAGATGAGCAAAGCTGTCTGGATTCAAACAAAAAACAAATCCTCATGTCTAGGTGTTGCAAACATGTATCAGAAAAAGGCATATTTCATATGGCTCCTTGGTTTAATGTTCCTACTCCTCCTGGAAAGCTTAAGGTCCTCAGGCCACCCTGTTTGGATAGGCCCTGCTGAGAGTTTGGGTACAATTCTTTCTCCTGTTGCTGTGTAATAATGAGATTTTGGGCGATACGCTGCTTCTAAATTTTCATATACTCACCACCAGACCCTTCCTCTACCACGCCTGTGTCAAATGTTCTAAATCACAGCTTGTGAATGTTGTTTAGGGCCAACAGTTTGAATGCTGCACATTATAGCATTCAGAAAAGGAGAACATTTCCCTCTATGCATAATTTAATGTCCCAATTACTGGTCTATTCTAGGCCAAGAAGACTCTAAAACCCCAGCTAAGACTCTGTAATGCTTCAGGGCCTTTGTTTGGATGACAATGATGATCTTCAAAAACCATGTTCTACATGTCTTAGCGTTCCTTGCTGTGGATATGCTGTATATAGGGGGAGCGTTCCTGCTTGAATTCGGTTAGACGTCTGCCGGGAAAGTATCCTGTCGGGTTTTCCATTGTTGCATATTCTTCAATATCGGTCTTCGAATCCTATATTGACAGCGAGGTTTCTCTTCTTCAATGTGGTGCCCAATTGATTCTTGCCACTGTCAGCATATATCTTAATAAACGACGATACTTTTCATTCATGTAATAAAAATATTGGTGCTTTTAATTTGAAATTTATTTACAGAATTTTCTGGGGGTTCGGTGTCTTTCTTTCCAGTATTTTGGTTTTTTTTCTTTTAACATCACCACCACAGATGAAAAAACGTTCCTTCTTTGTTGTAGCATTTCCAGCATTTCCTGTTATATGATTTATCCATCTTGGCAATTGTTGATGGACTTATATACCATCTGTAGGACATTTTGTACTTATTTTCTCTCAGGTCATAGCTTGGTGTAAATGTTATTGATTTCCTTCCCATAAATCTGCTTCAGGACCTTCTGAAACAGATCAAAATTCTGAGGAAGACATTTGTTCGAACAGCAAGTGTGTTTTTAAAGCGTTATCTGACTATTAGGTGAATCAAAAATATTAAAAATGATGAAAGAAACTTTGGAGTAGAATCAGAATACAAAACATAACATTTGGCACGTGTGTGTGTGTGTGTGTGCATAAAACATGCTTCCAGTTGCAACCTCTGGATCTGGGGGCAACTTCTAGGACACCACCACACTGAATGCAACTTGATCTAAGCCGCTCCTGAAGGAAGCTAACGCAGAAGGAGCTGATTGACGGTTTCTTTTGCTGGACAGAGTTTTCATGCTACCAAATGAATAATTCAGCCTATTTCTTAAGAGGAGAAGAAAAGGCTTTGCTGTATGTTTAAATCACAGCTCCAAGAGTAAGCATCGCCACCAGCAGCAGCAAAGACACAGAATCCTGTTCCTACTCCTGCTGTCGCCAAGTCTATAATGACATATTTATGGAAAGCAGAGAATGGCGCTGTTGGTCCCTAGCTCTGTACTTTTACACCAGTGTTGTCCAAACTTGGCCACTTTAAGATGAGTGGACTTCAACTCCATGCTGGCTGGGGAATTCTGGGAGTTGAAGTCCACTCATCTTAAAGTGGCCAAGTTTGGACAACACTGTTTTACACCATCCATGTGGCCAAGATACTGGAGAATCTGGAAGACGATTCTTCATTACAGCTTATGCAATGATAACTTATTTTGCTGAATAAATTCATGTATTAGGTTCTTGTCAACACCTCTGTAATGGTTTGTGTTTCCTTTTTTTTTTTGCTCAAATTCAGAGCTCGGATGCTTCATAGAACCCAACGCAGATTTGTCAGCATTCATTGAACAAGGAAGATTTTGGTGTGTGGTTTATCTGAGAAATGCATTTAGACTGGCTCCAAGCCTATTTAACTCTCTTCCCCTCTCTGCAGGGCAACCTGGGAACTGTAGTTCTGTGGATGTGTTTGAGTCAAGGGCCTTTCTCGGACCTGAAGGGTTTGGATTAAAAGTTAAAAGGGAAAAAAAACCCCAAGTGTTAGTTATGGGGTTTTGGGATCCAGTCTGTAGTTGTGTTCCCTGAAATCTGGCCCTCTCAGGAGAGAAGAGAGGGTGGGACAGACAGAAATACGACTGAAAATGAAGTGTAGATTTTGTGCAGGTCAGATGATAATTATTAGTTATCATATTATTAGATGATGATGGTAGTGATGTTGATGATGGATGATGATGACATTAATTGCCCTGCCTTGTCCCCATGTTGTAGGAGCTTTGTTTCAAGGTCCTCCTGATGTCCTGACCAAAGCTGGAATGGAAGAGAAGACCTTCTTTTGTCCTGCAGCTCAACCAACAACATTTCTTGAGCCAACCCATCAATCATCTTTGCAGGCCAAATGCTTTCAGTGCAATCAAAATCAGGCAGGGCACAAGTTGGCCAACCTGATGCTAACAGACCCACAGGGGAAATGTCAACCAACTATTCTGGGCGCTTTGCCTAAATAGGGAAATAAGACTCCTCCTGGCTCTAGGGCCCCATCTTCTCCTCTGTTTAGCAGTCAGCTCAAGACACTCAGCAGGTTGCTTCTGGAGGCAAGCAGAAACAATGGGCACTCAAGGCCTCTCCTGAAAAAGGGCCCCCTCCCACTTGTCCAGGGCCAGCCAAGCAGCCAAATGTTTCCAGATGGTGGCTGCCAATCCCAGAGCAAGGGAGGGAAGCTAAAGCCAACAGTGCTGGAGAATCAACGGATAAACGGAGACCAGGACAAAAGCAATCAATACACAGCTGCTGGGGTGGTGGAATTGTTCCTGATTGGTGGGCTTTATTATTATTGTTGTTTATTTAGGGAAAAGCCATTGAGGAGATGGAAATGAAGCTGTGAGTGACAGATAGGGCCACCGTGTTCCCAGAAATTCTGGGCTACCGTCCCAAAGAACCATGTGCCTACCCACTTCTGCCTGTTGCCCTGGCTATCTCTGAGCACAGATGAGGACAAAATTGGAGGATGGGTCCGTAGCACAGGGAGTCCAGAACAATCCTTGCCAAGAGCAGGCACTGTTCCAAAGCAGAGGAACGGTGTGTTCCTGTGGGTCACAGCACAATCCATTGGGGCAGGCTGGCCCCAACAGCATTCCTTCTGGCCATATACTCTATATAGCCCATGCTATTGGCATACCAATATCAGTCACTTTGAAGGCTTGCAAAGTATATCCAGGCAATGAGGGCAGGACCACAAGAGAGGAAGAGATGGAGGTCAGTAGGAAGGAGAACACATGAAGACAGCAGTAGCTCTCTGGACTCACTGCAGCCAAACTGAAGAGAAGGGAAGGTGGAAGCAACTTTCATCTGGAAAAAAATTGTGGGTGTTGCTAAGCCAACATCCTGAAAGGGTGACAGACTGCAAAAAGTTGGGTTTTACTCATCACCTTCAAAAAAAAAAAAAAAGTGTGCTAGGTGATCAGATTGAGAGAAGGGAACAGTGGCAACATTTGTCCATCACTGGTGAACTCCATTGTCAACTTCTGCACTGATTCTGCTTTCTCTCTTGTCTTTTGTCGGAGAGGAAACCCCAGAGGAAAGGGCTGGAATTAACATTAAATGGATTGATGTAATTCGTGTGCATCTCTCAAAGCCAGTGGCCATGAGAGTTAAACTGAACATCCATGTTCGATGTCACTATGGTCACTAAACACCATTGCCTTAGTTGTCCTGTTCCTCTGTTTCCCAAAAATATCCAACTGGCCACTTCTTGGAAATGGGAAGTTGTAGATGAGTTTGATCTCACAGGGCCTGACTTATGTTTTCCAGATATTAAGAAAATAGCAGATTTCAGGTGACTAAAGATGGTAAAGTTGGAAGACCCAATTTCAAAGAACAAGAAATCAGTAGATGCCAAAAGGTGTACCTCCCACAAGAAGCCCATACAGTAATAAAACTGTCAGCCA